TTATCATACATATGTCAATCACCTTATAAAAGCCTGTAATGATAACCTTGATACTATATACTGCAGAAGATGTCATATCAATCGAAAAGCTAACTCCAGGGAAGTCCTACTGTTTCAATGGGTGGGCCTATAACTCGTGCGGTTCAGGACCTGTCTTCACACTGGAAGGCGTTTGCGCCGAGAATTCAGTCGATTGTGAGACCACTTCCACCGAACACTGCGAATACGACTTCAGCTATAATTTCGACTGATTTCACCATTTCTATGATAATGCCTTCAATTATTGACACAAAATACTATTTAAACAAATAATTCATAACTTATTTGTGATATACTTATAAAACAAGATTTAATTCAATTATAAAACAAATATTAAATCAATTTTATAATCAATTTCAACAAAATCTTTTCACTCAACCATTCACTCAATGAATCACTTCTTATGTCTTTTATGTCTCTTGGGATCAGCGCTTGAATTGTGTGGCGAATCAGTGGTTGTCGTGCTTTCATTCCAAGACTCGTCACTCATCTTTCGTTTATTACAATTGGATTCAGTGTCTGAATGTCTGTCCAAATGGTCTTTCGGTTCCCAAAGAGCCGAACGAATGAATCTTTTGGCGGCGTTTGTGTCCACTTTCGCCGCCTTTCGCTTGTCTTCTTTCGTTTATTACAATTGGATTCAGTGTCTGAATGTCTGTCCAAATGGTCTTTCGGTTCCCAAAGAGCCGAACGAATGAATCTTTTGGCGGCGTTTGTGTCCACTTTCGCCGCCTTTCGCTTGTCTTCAATCTGTTGGACGCGTTGGGCGTAACTCTTGAGCCGCGAGATCTCATCCTTGATGGGCTGCTCCTGAGGGTTCACTCCTTTTGTGGTCAAATAGATCCAAAACAATGAGTTCATGGCGTAGGCAGTGGTCAACTCGATCTTGGCTTTGGACAGCGGATCAGTTGCCAGACTTTGGATAGTCTTGTAATTGGTGTTAAATGTGTACAGACATTGCTTGAGATCAGCCAACGACTCGTGCAGATCACGGATCGGTTGCTTCAGTGAAGACGGAAAGTCTTCAGCAGTCGATGAACTCATGGCTCACACGAGGAGTACAATAATATTGTCGTAATTTATGGACATTTTGTGACATATTTTGTGTGAAAAATCAGCAAAAGTTTGAATGAATTGTCGGACAATCGCTGTCTTATCGACACAACAATTGTCACCACATTTGGGATCAGATGACGACCTCCGAGGCTAAAGAGTACAAACTGTCGGCCGATTGTGAGCTGAGGTTTGAAGTGGAAGACGAGACAGTGATCTGTGAACTGAAGTCAGGTTTGGCCGAAATGTTTGGCACAGAACTGATGAGAGCACATAAATACCACTTCAGAAGCGGATCCAAAGTAGCGATCTTCACATACCACGGATGTGTTGTCGAACTGACCGGACGTCCGGAAGTGGACTACATATCCCGCGAGACTCCGATGACTTTCTACGTGAATCTGAGCGCCGCTTTGGAAGCGCTGCGAACGAAGGCTCAGGAGGAGGACAGGTGTGGCCCCACTCTGATGGTCGTCGGCCCCTCCGACTGCGGGAAGTCTACGTTGTGTCGCATTCTTCTCAATTATGCCGTACGGATGGGTCGACAGCCCCTGTTCGTGGACCTGGACTGCGGACAGGGATGTGTTAGTATCGCCGGCACATTGGGTGCCGTGACTGTCGAGAGGCCGGCAGACATCGAAGACGGCTATTCACTGGTGGCGCCCATCGCCTACCACTTCGGCCACACCTCACCCGACGGTAATATAACGCTCTATAATATACTAATGAAGTGTTTGTCGAAATCGGTTGAAATGAAAATGCAAACCGAAAAGAGGAGCAAATACTCGGGAGTTATTATCAACACTTGTGGTTGGGTTAAGTCACACGGCTATCAGGCCATCATTCGCGCCGCACAGGACTTCAATGTCGATATCATCACAGTCTTGGATCAGGAGAGACTCTACAATGAGTTGGTTAGGGATGTGAACAGCTCTGTGAAGGTCCGAAAGATTGTCACTTTACTGGTGATTACCACTCTTTAACCGATTCATTGATTTTCAGGTTATTTTTACGCCCAAAAGCGGTGGAGTCGTCGAAAGGGTTCGGAAGTACCGCATAGAGGCCAGGGATGCGAAAGTTCGCTGGTATTTCTACGGCACCGCCAAATCAGGACTCTATCCCTATTCGTTTGAAGTACCGTTCAGTCAGTTGCGAGTCTATAAGATCGGAGCCCCCAATCTTCCCGACTCTTGTATGCCTATAGGCATGAAGACTGAGGACAACCTCACGAAACTGGTGTCCGTCTCTCCCACCGCTCAGACACTACTCAACCACATCCTCGCCGTCTCGACGGCCACTTCCGTCGAAGACAATCTCAAAGTCATTGAATCCAATTTGTTTGGTTTCGTTTGCGTTACTAATGTTGATATCGAGCGACAAGTGGTGACCCTTTTGGCGCCACAACAACGACCTCTTCCACCGAATTGTATTCTACTCTTATCTGACATTCAATTCATGGATTCCCATTGAGAT